CATTGCGATAGTAAGATTCGCATTGCGATTTACGTATTCGCATTGCGATTTTCCTAATTCGCATTGCGATTTACTTATTCGCATTGCGAATTGGGAAAATCGCAACGCGAAATTGGAAAATCGCATTGCGATAGTCATAATCGCGTTGCGAATCTGGAAACTGATTTGCGATAATGGAGATCGCGTTGCGAATTAGCGATCACATTGCGATTTTGTTGGTCATTTTGGCAAATCCGGAAAAAGTTGATTAAAATCGTATATTATATGGGATTTTTGGTCACTGAGGTTATTTTCTCAAGAAAAACAAAGACCTAAGGTGGAACCACCCTAAGAGATATTCGAGGATGAACCTCTGCCAAAAATTAATGAGTCGGTGCTAGAAAAAATGTCAATATTAGATTCAAACTCATGCCCTATGAAAATAATATCATCAACTAAACTACTAAATTAAATTCATTGTTGGTTTATAATTTGGATAAATTATATATATATTTTAGACTATAACTAATGCAAGATTAAAAATAAATTTAATTTTAAAAACATTAAATTTAATATTTTTTATTTTAATTTTAATTTGAGTTTTTTCTTTTAAATATATAAATTATGATAAATATTAAGTTTGATGTTATATTCCTCTTGAATTATATTTTTATTATAATTTAAAGTATTCAAATTTATAATATATTTATATGGATTAAGTGACTTTAATGGTTAAAATGATAATTGTTATTTCTAGAAATTTCGAATTCAAGTAATAACGACTACATGACATTTATCACTTGTAATCACCTAGATTAATAAAAAATATATAATATGTAACATCCGCAATACCGGGTTAGTGACTAAATTGGAAAGTTTCAGAATTTGATGACTAAAGTAGAAGAATGAAATAATTCAATGATTATTTGAATATATAATGAAGGTTATTGAGTAATTATTAAAGGAAATTAAGGGTATTATGGTCTTTTCCTTTAAAAGATATTCGTTCCCCTTTTATAAGAGTGAAAAACGTGGGAAGAGAGCTATCTGGAAGCTTTCTTCTTCTTGCTTTCTCTTCTTCACGTGGGGCTTAGCTACAATAGGTAAGTTTAATTTCAGTTGGTTAATTCTTGAGTTTTAAGCTTAGTTTTGATTCTTTGGGTATTAAATAAGCTTAAGGAAAGCTTATATGGGATTTAAACAATAAGATAAAGGAATTAAGAAGGAATTTGTAATATGAATTTTAAGATGAAATTTTGATATGGTATGGTTGTTAAAGTTTTATGGATGAATTTAACTTGTCATCAATCTAATTAAGAAGTATGAAGTGTTAGAGTTGGATTTAGAACACATTGAAAATTTGGTATGATTTTTGAATCTCATATGGAAGATAGGATTTTGAGGTTTAAGATGAAATAAATGAATATAGATTGGTTTAAGTATGTGTACTAGAGTTAAGAATGAAAAGGGGATGATATAGGAAGTGTTTGAGAGAAAATGAAGTAATTTTCGGGCTGAAAAATGATTTCTGGGTTAGGGGGAATCGGTACCCATTCAAAGGGGTACCGATACCCTCTCAAACGACAGAATTCTAGAATGTCATGAGGGTATCGATACCCCCAGTAGGGAATCGATACCCCCTAAAGAAAATTGTGAATATGGGTTTAATAAGTTCGTTTAAGTTGCTAGTATCCAATTACAAGGTGTAGGTATCTAATGATAGCCTCAAAATGTACATTTATGTAGATTCTGCGCGTAAAGCAATTCCGGAACATTTGGCAAGTAAGATCGATCAAGGGAAAGATAAGAGATTGAAATTGACTAGTGAGGCCAAGGTGAGTGTATACTAGTGACATGTAGTGTTTAATGGAAATAAGACTTACGATGAGTCTATTTCTAGAGTAATATGCATGAAGTCATAGACATGATTATGTGTTGGTTATAACTATATGTGATTATATGTATTACATTGATTGTATGTATGCATGACTAAAGATAATGATATGATTGTATATGCTATATGATTTATGTAAGACTTTATTATGTAATAATGGAAGAACATGGAATAAGTTATATGATAGAGTCATAAGAAATGAAATGAACATGAGAGAATAAGATAATCAAGTATAAATCATATTATATGGTATAAGTGATTATACGAGAAATGTTAGGAGACTCTAAGAGAATAGTATGAATTCGAGGGCATAAATAAGGATACATAAGTTATATAGAGAAGATTGGTAAATTAAAGGAAACTATGGTTTATGTATTAAAGTGAAGAGCTACAAAGTTTTATTAAAGAGTATTGTGGAAGTCATGAGAAATTGAACTAAATAAATAGATGGTTTATGTGAATAAAAAGGGAAAATGATATAAAATAAGTTATGAAATTATAGGAATATAGAAGATAAGTCGAGAGATGTAGGGAAATATAGGAGAACAAATATATGTAATATGATAATGAAATATAAGACTATGTGGATACATGGTTATGAGATAAAATATGTAATAATAGGAAAATATGATGAAAGTGAGTTTATAAGAAGTGATATGAACTAGGTAAACATGGGTAACAGTATATGCATAATGGAAACATGAGTTGGACAAGTACCTAGTGGTATGATTTATTATGAGAATTAGTATAATGGAGCTATATGAAAAGATTATAATGAATATATGAAATTGAATTAAGTAAAGAGATTAAATTAGTACTTAAATAAAAAATATTATTAAATGATATATGTTTAGAAATACGGCATAATTTATAATCTAAGGGAATACAAAGAAATAGAGCATAAGGTAGATAATATGATATCCGTTATTATATATCTATATGATATATGTCATCAGGTAATATGAAAGGACTCTGAAAATTGATATAAGCTATGAGAAAGTGTTCTAGGTGTTTCTATGTGTTATATGAAGCATAAATGATCATATGTGAACAAGTTATGATATGTATGTTTATATGAATATCTGAGAAATGATCTAAGCTATATGATATGATATGTGTGATTATGTGCACTTTGTGATATATGTTATATGATATGGATCTATGTAACTACGTGAGAAAGTATATAAGCTATGTGACATGTAAATGTGACTCATATGAAAATGTTCTATGAGTAATTGAACTATGTGTTATGTGAAATGATAAGTATAAAAGAAAATGCCCATGTTATGTGTCTTGAGAGCTAGGGGTATAGTTGGCATGCCAAGAGTAGAGGGTCTACGCGGTCCTTCGGGACAATATTCTACGCGGTCCTTCGGGATATATATATATTCTTTGGAACATGTGTGAAGTCTGGGGAGACACATATATGATCCCTAGCATATGTATATGAATCTTAAGGAATTCTATGTGGTCCTTATGGATATCATTATATGGCACTACGGTGCAATTCTACGCGGCACTTCGGTGCATTTATACGAGTTGTGGTGACAGCATAGTGCACAACCTCACAATACTCAGATACCTTAGGTTCTCAATATGATATATCATGGGCCAATAAACTCATTAATACAAATTCATGAATGTTAAAGTAATATGCTTACATGTATGGATATTGGTGATATGAGAATAATGTATGTAATATATGTATATGATTTGTGATATGATGTGTGCATGATATGATATATCTGTGATAGGGGTAATGGTATCTGTTACATAATATGCATGAATATATGTTGATGTATATGTAAATGAGTTGTATAATTTGATAGCATAAAACAGTCATGCATGATTAATGGGTATGAATTCCATTAGATGTGTTTTCTTTATGCCTCACTAAGTCTTCGACTTAGCGTGTGATTGTTTCACACGTAGGTTTCAAGAAGAGTAAAGAGTAATGCGGAGCAAGACAGGTCAGTTCTCCTTACCAAATGTCAGATCAGAAAATATATGTACTGTATATAGAGTGAAGTTGGCATGTAGTCTACAGATATAAATTGTATGAACTCTGATATATATTTTGTAAACGTCTTGAATAATTTAAATGTTATCAAAGTTTTTAAATTACTCACTATTTTATACGAATAAATGTTTGAAAAGTCAATGTGACACTTCGGACTCGTATCCGGATCGGATACGGGTTGGGGTGTTACATAATATTAGTTTAAAACCTAATTTTTTATAGATAAAACATGATAAATATTGAATTAAATTTATATGTATCATGAATTATAATTTAAAGTATTATTTTTATTATCATATTGAATCAATCTAATTCCTGCGTAAGCCTTCAACACCCGTGGAAATGTGAATCGATCAGGTTAAACGCCCTCTTCCTCCATCTGAAAGTACAAGGGTAAGGCATCTTCATATTATCCCAATTCTACCTCGAGATAAGAGAATTCCATGGAAAACCGGATCTGTTCCATTTAGACATTTCATCAAACACCTGATGGGAACTTTCCATGCGTCCAGACGTTGGGTACGGCCTTACCAGTTTTGAAGAAATGACCTTGTTTTTACGCAGTAAGTTTAGGCGGAACAAGACGATAAATCGCAATGCCATGATCGATGGATTGCAATTGGTAACACGTTTCTGACTGATAAGAGTATATTCCGAATCGATGACTATGTTGTCCTTGACCGAGGCTTCGAGATCATTAACGACAAAGTCGAATTCAGTTTGAGTGAAAGGCTTGTTTTTATAAGGAGTGGGGTTGGGGAAGATCTTGGGAAAGGAAGGCAGGTTTTCTGTCAGGCTGAAACTGTCTTCGCTGTAGTTGTTTCTATTTCTGATTCATCTTGCTTTTGGAAGAGCGACGAAATTTTGTGTGGCTGCACCTGTAAAAGGGCAAGCATTTTCGGCGGCAACAACAAAGTCCAGAAATGTATGAATATATTTAGCTAGACGATGGGGAGATCAATTGTGAAGCTCAATGCTTCTTCAATAAGTATTGAAGCTCAAATATTTATTTGCATGTTATTTGAGTGAATACTGAAGGAGATTTAAATAAAACTGAGAGCTTTCAGCCGGCAATCATCATCATCAGTCAAACTATCATGTGTCTCTTTCTCTCGGTATAAAAAAAAATAACAAACAACATCTGCCTTTTGTTCGTTTCTGTATTTACATAATGGGCAAAAACTTGTGATTTTCTTGTTTCATAAGAACCTCATCTAACGGCCTGCTGCAAAAAAAAAAAATCGTTAAGTCGGTCCGAACTCAAATACCGTTTATAATATCGGTATAGACATTACGATCGGTGCACGATACATATGTTTTTCTCGCCACCATTCTCCCTCCTCTAGCTTATACCAACCACTACCACTACGACAGAGACAGAGATGTCTCGATGGATATTTAGAGGGGACGGAGTTTTCTATTGTTACAAGTAAATAATACAGCATAGCTGGATAGAAAGGATCATTGTGCTTGCAGAATCATTGTGCTTGCAGAACATACCTCGAAGGCAGTAAAGATAGGACGAACTTGTTCGAATATTTCATCTTCTGTTCCTACTGCCTTGATCTGCAAGTATTAGGTTCAAGTACGGTAACCAATATGCTATAAGCAACCATCAATCTAGAAAGGACAACCGTATATATATATATATACCGTATAGAGCTTTCCTCTATGAGAGTAGTAATTAATAACTGGAAGACTCAATGCCTCGAAAACTTTTAGGCGTTTTTTTATTGTTTCCAAGTTGTCATCAACTCGGCCCTGCAATAAGAGAACAACATATTTTGAAAAAATGGTTTTCACTTGATTCGAATTAAGCCATGAAATAATCATATGTACCTGATTACGATTCAGCAAACGTTTCACCATTTCTTCTTCTGGGCAATCAAAGAAAAGTACAACATTTGGCTCTACACCAATCTGTAATTTTCATTAGGAAAGTTACATTATTAATAAAAAGATCATTTCCCAAATATTCCCACATATTTAGTGAGTTTCTTCAACCCTGCAAGCAAAATATTTTAGGAAACACATAATTAACAGCTTTGTGAAGCAGATAGTCAATTGTTTTACAGTTATCACATGACAAATCGATTTGGAGGGAGTTAGAAGCTCACAATTCGTTCGAATGACACTCGGTTCTCCTCAGTACGTGGGAAGCCATCGATGAGAAATTTGTTGCTGCCACTTGATTCCATCTCCTTTTGTATCAGTTTGACGGTCACCTGTGACGGGACGATTTTTCCTTCTTTAATTGTGTTAAGAATCATGGCACTGAAATCAAAGATTCATTATCAGAGGACATTGATTACTGTAGTCATTTCATAATATGGTACTGTAAACAATGATGAGAAATTTTTACCCATCGGCACTGTTAGAAGCTATTTCTCTTCTTAACAAATCTCCGGCACTCAAATGTTTGAATCCAAAGGTCTCAACAATCTTTATACACTGAGTACCTTTTCCACTACCGGGACCACCTGAAAATTAAAAGGCAGTTTGGAGAAGACTCGAATAAATTGCAAGCTCCATAAAGAAATTTGCAAATCAAACAATGTTATTTAAACAATTCATAAAAGCAGCACCACACATACTGTATCAAAGCCTGGTGTCACAATTTTTTCCATACCAGAGTAGGATACAAAGAACAGTTCAAATAAGTGAAACGACAATGGATTTTGACATCAGTGTTCCCTTTAATGTGGCAAACTGGCAACGGACATTTTGATTTCTCAAAAGGTTTGTAGCAGTGGTATATCAACCTCAAGTATCATTTTTATTAACCACACAATAAAATGCCAATTGACATCTAATATAATTAACCAAACCATATAATGATGCTGTGGATCATGTAACCGTGACCGTGATGTTTTACTGCAGTTAAAAAGCCAAAAGGTTTAAGCAGAGAATCAAGTATGGTGAATGTGCAGTTTGCATCTTTAATTTTGGGGTCTGTTTGTTTCACTATAATTGGTTTTTCGAAAAGCGTTTTCCTCATTTTCCAGTGTTTGGTTGACGGAAAACAGATTAGTCAATGTAAATCATCTTCATGTCAACAGAATTTCCTTTATATTTTCTGTAAAGTAACTATCGGTCTGATTTGCGGAACTTTTCACTTCAAAATATAAATACTCAAAACAATAACATCATGCAAACACCGTAAAATGATTTTCAGAAAATGTAATTCATTTTACGGAAATCATTTTCCGAAATATGTTTTTAATGAACAAACGGACCCTTGTTTAAGAAACGTAAAGGAGAAATAAGGTTTAAAATTGTGCAGAACTTCCCAACCTTCCAAAGCCAAAACATAAAACATAGCACGTAAATGTGATTGCACATGACAGTACATAAAGTAAAGCACGGTGCATTGTTTACTCACGGTAGCAATGAACAAGATTTACCTAGGACAAAAGTTATGAAAGGATTTTTCTCTTTGGGGACGCTAACACCATTTTCCTGCATGCAGATGATGGTGAACCAACAAAAAGAACCCATTTTAAGAATATTTACATTCGCAGAGTTAACAAAACCTTGAAACAGACGAGTGAACAAGTTGAAATCCCGGCGAAACAAGAATGGTGTACTAAAATCTAAACTATCTTAATTACAGTTTTAAGTCGGATGAACTCATGTTTAAACTATCCACACCAAACAAAACGTGGCCAGTTCGATACACGACCAGGGATGGGCCAGGGGATTGGCGGACGGCCGTCCCTGAATATTTCAAATTTTCCTAGATATTTCCTTTGTATTGTATATTGATAATCTATTTTTTCACTCCTTCAATTTTTACAAATTCATTCTCTAGGATAAAATCCTCATACCTATACACTTTAAATGCTTTCGCATCATCTCCATCTGACATATTTAGGTTGATCTGTGTAAACTCAAGGTTTGCAAATTAACAGGAACCAACATTTTCCCTTACCCACATAAAGAAATGAAAGAAAAATAACACCACATACTTAAGTAAACCCATAAAGGAGGGGCCTCTTTTTTTGGGGGTGGGGGTGAAGAATCGACCACTTTTAAGATTCAACCTGTCCAAGCCTAACACAATTGGAAATGCAACAAGAGATGTTCATCACATCGACAATCGAAATGCAATACCTGATGGGGGATCCCTGTTGTTAATGATTCCCAAGTGTTCAGTCTAGACGCTGTCTATAAAACAGCAACAAGAACCCAATTGGTTTAAAAAGATGAATAAGTAAACTAAAAGAAGAGAAGAACAAAAATAAGATAAACCAAATGCGTGTAATGGATCAGTATTAATTTTGAATTGAAAAGGGGAAGAGAATCGGAACCTGGGCAACGAAGGATGAGCTGGAGGAGGATGAAATGAAAGAAGAAAGCGAAGCCACGCGCCTCCACATCTCCGTTGGACTTGTGTACCCTTTAGCTGTTTCTCCCGTTATTGTTGGGGGTTTCAGCTATAAGTGAAAACCCGGGGGGGTGGAGATGAGTTGGGTTTTGGGGTTTGTTACTGTTACGGAGACATTACGTCGAACAAGTAACGTGCTCCATGTGAGGTGTGTTGTGGCCTTATGTGGAGACTGTCAGATTGTGGACAGTTAGATTGAAATGGGGCCCAGTTTACTTTTTCTTTATAAGGAACAAGGATCCCAGATTCGAAAGTCAGACCATACCTCAATCATAAATCATTTCATAACTACCAATTCATATAACTATGATGTTTTAGAGACTAAATTTCATATATATAACAATTCACAATAGAAGAGAAGTTTGGTTCGATATTACCATGAGCGACGTCGACGATGAGTGGAAATATTACAGGTAAAATGAGAAATTGAAAAAGTTTATAGGTCAATTTGATATTTTATTTACATTTTAACATCAAATTAAAATTAATCATTTTTAATAATTTACCACATCATGAATATAATGAAAGTTGACGACTCAATATAAATAATCAAAAATATATATTTTTAATTTCAGTGAACAAAATAAGACAACCAAAATAAAAGGTGATAAGTTACCCTTTTATATATACAAAATATAATAATGTCACGCTATGCAATCGTCTTCGATCAAACTTAATTAAATTATTACCTATGAAGAAATGAATCCAGTCGAGATGAATAGCAGAAAAAATAAAGCCGGGTAAGAAGTGCACAAATTAAGGAAACAGAAACGGTCAGCGCTGCTTCACTCGGATCTACTTAGGTGGGTTCATTATTAATTAGTCAACAACATCCTTTTTTATATATGCTACCTACGAATGCATACACGGTTGGGAAATAAACGAGTAAACAAGTAATTTCCCTATAACCATATTAGTAAGAATGCGAAATAAAAACGAAAAAATAATACCCGAAAATTGATAACGGAATTAAACCAATTGTGCTTACGTCTCCGGACTGCTGCAGATCTTTTACTAAGAGAGAAAATTTACAGGTGTTTACAAAACACTCACTACTCACAAGAAACTCTCTAGTATTGGGAGAGAAATGATTTGGGATTTGGTATGATTTTGAAGCTAAATGAGCTAGGGTATTTATAGTTGAAACTTAGGGACTAATATTTGAAAATACCCTAAAGTGCAATGAGTAAAGTGAATTTACCCATTCCTATTTTTAACAAACATCTACCAAACTTTACCAAACTTTGAAAAACATTTTTCAAAGTTAGTTGCCAAACTTTGAAACTAACTTTTAACAATCTCCCACTTGAAGACTGATTTTAATCTGTCTTCACACCTCGATCAATGCAGCAGTATTTCTGGTCTTGTTATTCTAGCCTGCCAACTGAAGCTGAACACAACTTCAGTTTGTCCGTAGTCACCGTCTTTGTAAACATGTCTGCCGGATTTTGAGCTCCACTAATCTTTTCAAGTTTCAAAATCCCATCTTCCAGAAGAGATCGGATAAAATGATATCTCAATTGTATGTCCTTCGTCCTGGAATGAAAAGACAGATTCTTTGCTAGATGGATAGAACTTTGACTGTCGCAATACAATACATTGTTTTCTTGTTTATTGCCTAACTCTTCCAAGAAACTTTGGAGCCAAACCATCTCCTTGCTAGCTTCCGTAACAGCGACATATTCTGCTTCAGTTGTGGAGAGAGCAACTATCTTCTGTAGTTGAGAAACCCAACTCACTGCAGTTCCTCCTAGAGTATAGACATACCCTGTAGTGCTCCTTCTGATGTCAATATTTCCGGCTAAGTCAGCATCTACATAGCCTGTCAGTATCGTATCTCCACTTTTGAAACAAAGTGTTTTGTTTGTAGTACCCCGCAGATATCTGAGGATCCATTTGACTGCTTCCCAGTGTACCTTGCCTGAATTATTCATGTACCTACTAACAACTCCCACTGCTTGAGCAATATCTGGTCTGGTACAAACCATGGCATACATTAGACTTCCAATTGCTGAGGCATACGATACCTTCACCATGTGTGCACGTTATTCCTCCGTCTTTGGTGACTGTTCTTTGGAGAGTCTAAAATGAACACCTAAAGATGTACTTACTGGTTTAGCATCTTGCATGTTGAACCTGGAGAGTACTTTGTTAATGTACTCAGCTTGTGATAACATCAAAGTCCCCGACTTTGTGTCTCTCTTGATCCTCATCCCAAGAATCTGCTTTGCAGCGCCCATATCCTTCATATCAAACTGCTTCGACAATTTTTGCTTCAAGTGTATAATCTCTTGCATGTTTGAGCCTGCAACGAGCATGTCATCAACGTACAACAATAAAATAATGAAGCTATTGTCGAACCTCTTGATGTAGCAACAATGATCTTCTTGGCATCTGGTAAAACCACTGTTACCCATGAAGCTATCGAACTTTTTGTACCACTGTCTAAGAGCTTGTTTTAAACCATACAAGCTCTTCTTCAACCTGCATACCAGGTTTTTCTTGCCTGCCTCTATGAAGCCTTCTGGCTGCCTCATATAGATTTCTTCCTCCAAATCACCATGAAGGAAAGCTGTCTTTACATCTAACTGCTCAAGATGTAAATTCTCTACAGCTACAATTTTCAATACCAGTCTGATTGTAGATAGCTTCACGACTGGAGAGAAAATTTCATTACAGTCAATGCCTTCTTTATGTTGAAAACCTTTGACAACCAATCTCACTTTGTAGCGTTTTCTCCCATCGTGCTCTTCCTTGATCCTGTAAATCTACTTGTTGTGGAGCGCTTTCTTGCCTGGTGGTAATTTAGCTAATTCCCACATCTGATTTGACATAAGCGAGTCCATCTCATCTTTCATGGAAGACTCCCACTTGACTGAATCCTCCACTTGAATTGCTTCATCATAGCACTTTGGTTCACCATTGTCAGTCAGCAATAAGTAGTGTAAAGAATGAGAATACCGTTGGGTTAGTTTAGGAATTCTGGAAGAGCGTCTCAGTTCTGGTGTGCCTGGTTCTTATTGAACTTCTTCAGGATTAATCTGAACATCATTTCTAGAAATCTCCTCAAACTCAGCAAATTCCTTTGTTTCAGCTTCGGTATTGGAGCTACTTGATTCTACAGTTGACCTGTCTTTGCACATCACATTCTCATTGAAAATGACATCTCTGTTTCTGATGATCTTTCGATTTTCGTAGTCCCAAAATCGGTAAACGAACTCATCACCGCCATAACCAACAAAGGCACATTTGTTGGACTTAGCATCAAGTTTACTTCTTTCAGCAGAGTCTATGTATACATAAGAAATACAACCAAACACTCTTAAGTGTGAAAGGTTTATTTTTTTCTTGCTCCAAACTGCCTCTGGTATTCTGCCATCCAAAGAAATTGAGGGCCCACGGTTGATCAGGTAAGCTACAGTGTTGATAGCTTCAGCCCATAGAAATTTGGGCAATCCGGCATATATCCTCATGCTTCTGGCACGTTCATTCAGAGTTCTGTTCATGCGCTCTACTACGCCATTCTGTTGCGGTGTCATGGAACTGTTGTCTCCATCTTGATCCCATTGTTTACGCAAAATTCTCTGAATCTACGATTTTTGTACTCTCCTCCATTATCAGACCTCAACCGCTTCCTTCCATTTTCTGAAGGTATCAAAGACTTCTGATTTTTTCTTCAGAAAATAAACCCACACCTTCCTTGTAGAATCATCGATGAAGGTGACATAATATAATGAGCCTACAAGAGATGGAACTGGAGATGGTCCCCATACATCAATATGAACCAACTATAACTTTTCAGCCTTGGGTGTCTTACCAATCTTTGCAAAACTGACTTTCTTTTGTTTGCCAAAGATGCAATCCTCGCATAGTCCGACATCTACATTCTTTAGATCCGACAGTTTCCCTTTTGACAAAAGTGTCTTTATCCATTTCTCGCTCATATGGCCAAACATTTGGTGCCATAGGTTTGATTTTCCATCAACATCTGCTACTGCAATGATATTCTCTAAGTTTGAGGTTATATAGAGAGTATCAGTCTTCTTACCACGAGCAATGACGAGTGCTCCTTTTGTAATCTTCCATTCACAGCCTGAAAATGTTGTACTATAACCTTCTCCATCAAGCTGTCATACGAAAATTAAATTTCTTTTTAGGCCAGGAATATGTCTCACACCTTTCAGCGTCCAGGTGGTCTGGTTTGGCAGCTTTAGTCGGATGTCTCCTCTTCCAACGATCTTCAAGGTTTCATCATCAGCTAGATGAACCTTCCCAAAATCACCACTGACATAGTTATCCATGATTTCTCGGCATGGGGTGGAGTGGAAAGATGCCCCTGAATCCAAGATTCATAATTCAATCAGACTGTTGACGCTTAGAATCATGACATCACTTGTCTCCTCTGTCATGTTGGTAGATGACTGTACGCCGGTATTTTTCTTCGGTGCTCGGCAATCTCTTTTAAAGTGACCTTTCTTGTCGCAGTTATAACAGGTAAAATCTTTCTTCCCCGTTCTTGATTTTTCCCTTCTAGATTTAGATCTGCCACGATTTGAATTTCTTTCTGAAGTTCTCCATCTGGACTCCGTGTGCAAGGCTGAGGAGGTTGATCCTTCACCCGATTCTCTCTGTCGAATTTCTTCGCTCAGTACCAGATCCCGAACATCGTCGAATTTTAATTTATTGTTTCCCGACGAGCTGCTGACTGCTGTAACAGTAGCATTCCAACTGTCTGGTAGAGATGATAAGAGAATTAAAGCTCGAACTTCATCATCGAATTCAATTTCCACGGAACTCAACTGGGTTGTGATTGTGTTGAGTTTATTTAGGTGTTGAGCCACTGATGCCCCTTCCATCATCCGCAAATTGAATAATTGTCTCATTAAGTGAACTTTGTTTGAGGCTGATGACTTCTCATACATACTAGAGAGAGCTGCCATAAGACCCGCCGTGGTATTTTCCTTTTTTATGTTGAAAGCAACACTGCGGGACAACGTCAGTCGGATAACAGCGAGGGCTTGTCTGTCGAGAAGAGCCCA